CTCTGATACAATGTTAAGAATCACGGGCCTTCATAATGATATAATATTGTCCACTTTAAGCATAAAATCTCGTAAGTTATTATTATTTTTTATTTATTTTTAAAAATTACAAAGGAAGTTTTAAAAATGTTTGAATATAAATTATATAAAATATTGTATATAACGTTTGACAAATTTGGTATAATTTAACCCTTTCTTTTTCCCTTATGTTTGAAAAATGAGATATTAAAAGAAAGGAATAATTTATGCTGACGTTTGGTAAATATTTGGGATTGGTGAAAGATTAAATAAATGCACGTGATTACTCACGTGCGGTGGCGCCGATTTGACGCCACTTTTTACAAACGTTGGCGCCTCGGATTCCCTCTGTTTTCCTTTCATTCCATGTCCACTCGCCTTCCATGCGCGTGAATCTCACCCTTCATTTATTTGATTCGTCTAATTAAATTAAATATTAATTTTTGATATTATCAATAGTACAAATAAAAAATATATTATTTAAAATTTAATAATATGATAACTAAATGATAAATTGTTACATTGTTTTATTTTATTTTGTTATATCTAATAAGTCTAGAAAACAATTTTATAATTTTTAAATCAACTATTTTTTTTATAAATGTTTAAATATTAAAAATATTTCAATTAAGATTAAGATTTAGGGTTTATAAAAAAAAAGAATAATATAGAGACTAAATTGTAAATTGTTACATTGTTTTTATTTTATTTTGTTTTGTTAAAACTCCTATTAGAATAAAAAAAATATTTAGAATTTAATTAATAATATTATTAAAAATTAACTATTTATCATTCTTAAATATTTTACTTTTAAGTTCCAACTTAAAAAACAATGACTAAATTAATTATTAAAAAAAAAAAAAAAAAAGAATTGGCGGTCCGATTCAAGTATTCAACCTCGGGCCAGCCCAACGGTCAAGAATTTAGGTCGGAAGTCAAAGTTTACGGCTTGTCGTGTAATGGGGTTGCGTGAGGTTCACGCACTTAATTTGAGAGTCCTTGGGAAAGCGCGTGGTAAGCCTGGTGAAGACAAAGGAATCCTTCAAAAAGAGCGGGAACTATTATCATTGGTCCACGTCTGCATTTAATGCCGCTGTTTTGTTTTCTACGCTTCCAAAAATTAATATATTTAGGCGTGATTATCGACGCGTTTGATCCCTTCTTTTTGTAAACAAAATTAATTATGGAAATGAAAATACTAAAAATTAAACTATTTTGCTGATTTATACCTAATTTTAATAAAAAGTAACTGATACAATATTGGTAAAAATTCAAATTCACCGCTAGTAAATATTGTCTGTTTTGACTTATTACGTATTACTATCAGCCTTATGATTTTAAAACGCGATGTCAGCGAGAACGTTGGGACCCCACAGCGGATGGATTGTGAGATCTTACCTCGATTGGACAGAGAAACGAAACATTCCTTGTAAATTGTGTGAAAAATTCTCCTTAATAGACGCGTTTTAAAACATTAAAAGAAACTCATAAGAGAAAGTCCAAAGAAGACAATATCCGTTAACGGTGGGCTTGGACTTCACAATATTTTTTAATACAGTTTGAACTAATAATTATTCTGACCAATGGAAAAATTCTAACCCCCGAACTTCGTGTAGCTGATTTTTTTACTTAGGTCTATAGTTACTCACGATATCAGGCTCGTAGAAGTAAAAGTCTATATATCTCGTGACATACAAAGCATGATATTTTCTTTTAGTTTATTTTAATCCTTTGAGTTCAAGGAGGAAGGAAGGCTTTATAAAAGCAGCTTTTGACAAGCTCTCAACGTTAATATAAATAATCAAATTTTAATACCCGTCCCTTTCTATCAGAAAAAACTTTAAATAGATACTCTTATTTATTGTCTATCCCGTCAATATTATTTTTAAAATGATTCAATTTATTAATATTAAAAAAAAATAGTTATAAAATAATAGCCATAATTTTTACAACTTTTCCCTTTTGCAAATGAGTTGTAACTTGCAAGTAATTATATAATCGAGTAAATAATAAAAAGGGTGAGGATAAAGTTGGAAAGAAAAGTATCAATTACGTCACAAGTCAAAATAAAGAAATTCCCCCTCTTTGTGGTTTTCATTGGGCCCCACCTCGTCATGGATTAACTTGCTTTTGAGGCGCGTGGCGAACAAACAAAACGGTTCGTTTGACGTTCGCTGATTCTCTATTTTATCGCGCGTGGTTTTCACGTTCTTCTTTTTTTTAGTTATATAAAAATTTATATTTATAATTGAAATTTAGTTACAAAGGTAAAATATTAATCTTTTTAATAATATTAAAAGTAGGGTTGAGTTAGGTTATAACCCTATTTTCGGACGGGTCGAGTTAACCCAACTCAAAAAATGTAAATCCACAACCCAACACAAAATTTTCAACTTTTTAAAAATTAAACTCAATCTAAACAGGGAAAAAATAAATCTAACCCAGCTGAACTTTTATAGTTTGAGCTAAGTGATCTGGGTAGATCAGGTTGGAATATCGTGTTATTTATCTTTTCCTAATGATGTGGTCATTTAAGCATGGTAGAAAGAATACGTCAAATTTTCATGCTCGTTTTATTTACAAATTTGAAAGTTAGGTAGGTCGTTGTTTCGATATTTGCCTTAAAAAGTTAAATTATTGTTCAAACCCGAATTCCAATCACGTGTTTTTTGTTGTAGGGTGAAGAGACATGAAAAGTTTCATAATTTTGGTTACAATGTCCCCCACTTTCATTGTGAAGCTATTAAGGAAATAAAGTGGCCAAACATGGGAATGGGCTAAGCTTTTAGAAGGATAGAGAATTTAAATCTAAGGCACCATATACAAAGTTTGCCAAACATAAGACAATGCTAGTGTGTGGGTTTGAAGAGCTTTTAATGACTTCCAATTTTGAGACACTAAGTTTATGTCTCTAAAATAACAAAAAAAGTGCACTCAAAACTTAGATGAAGGTTAGGTTATATTCGAGATACGAGATACGGATTTTTGCTCATTTTGAATCGAGAATGATTCGAGTGATGTAGGGATGTACTAGGGTTAGGTTTGATTGGTTCGGAAAATCTTTTGGACCAACCCAAATTTTGAGTCAGTTGGGATAGTGAATTGAGTAATTCGAATAGAGTTCACAACTTAACCTAACCCAACCGTTTTAAGGTCGAGTTCACAACCTAAACAATGCATTATAGCATTAACTAGAAATCACACAAACAATGAATTAAAGTTTAATAAAGAAAATAAAAAAGAAAAGGAAAATGGGAGCCATAAATTTAGGTGACGCAAGGCTCTACCAGAAAATTAAATGACTTTCCCATTCCACCAACTGCCAAAAGAAGCAGTTTAAGTATCACAAACGACGACGTCTTGAAATAGTAGGCCGACACGTCGCATCGTACAGGTTTTTTTAGTGTGATTTTCAAGCTTAGCGTCTTAGTAAGAAAATAATAATTAATTAAATGAAAAAAACATGTAGAAAAAAAAAATGCACTTTCCTTGTGGTGGCTTCGTTATTAAATCGGTTTGGCCCTAAAAAGTGCATATTCAATCTCGGCTCAAGCCTGAGTCAAACGAGTTTACAGTACTATACTGTAGAGATGTTCAAATGGCTCGAGTTTTTTGAAAACCAGGTATCCAGAAACTAATTGGGTGTGAACCTTATTCGATTTACCAATCTAACTAACTTGAAAATTTGAACTCGTAAATTTTTTTATTCCGATTCCACTCGTGTACACTAACCATTTAGGCTTTAATAGAGCTAATCTAACCTTAAATAACAAGCTTATGACCCAACGTTTAGACGAACGTGATTTTTAAAATGGTGATCTATATCCAATCTAATGAATAAATGAAATGGACTATTCGAGCTTGGACTAAGCGTGTGCCGACCTTTAAACTTCGAGGTCGATGATGAGGCTGACAAAGGGAATCCAATGACTTGTCTCTATTTTCTCCCCCAAAATCTCTTTAAAATCTCATTTTCTCACGAAATTTTGCGCTCTCTCTCTCTCCATTTTATTACCTGGATTATTTTATTCCATTATTATATATTTCTTTCTACATATATTAGTTTCTTCCATTATTGTACATTTTAATTACTAATTATGGTGTTTAATTTAGCCTTAGTGTTCAAACATTCTTTTTTTAATTCTTACTTTCTAATATTTTTTAATTGATAACTTCGAGTAGATAAAAAGTCGCTTAAAATAGAAAACAAAATTATATTTTTTACGGCTCAATATGCCCATCATTTCACTAAGTATTATATTAAAAATATTTATTATCAACTCATTTTAATAATATTGAATAAAAAATATTAAATATAAAGGTTAAAGATATATTTAATATTTTTACAAAACTTTTAAAATTTTAATTTTTTTATTATAATAATAAGTGGAAATATGAATATTTAAATTTTTAACCAACTATTATTTATTATTTAATAACATAAAAACTGTATAACTATTTAAAATGTGATAATACTTTGGGGAAAGATGCAAATAAAAAAATCGAGAGAAATTAGAAAAGAAAAAATTATTTTTAAAAACTATTTAGTCGTGAAGATATCGCGATATTTTGAAGGAGAAAATGCAGAGGAAAATGACGAGATAAGAAGAAATTGAAAGTACGGTGGACCTGGGGGCTGGAATCCTCCAACCCTACCTTTTCTTCTTCAACCAGGGCTCTATCTTTTAACATTACATATACCTTTCTCCCTCTTCCCCTGAATCTCTTCGCTCTCTCTCTCTCTCTCTCCTCTTCTTTCTCTCTCTAAACTCAACAACGAAGCCCCCCCCCCCCCCCCC